ATGATCTGCGCAGGCATAGAATATCATAAGAAATTAGGAAAATAGGTCGCGACAAATGCCAACCTTCCTCGCCTTGCAGCGAACATAACTCCGCGTTGACCTAATCTAAACCATCTTGGCGCATGCACCTCATGACGTCACGGGCACTCAGTGTCAATCTCTTAAAAATATACTATACGTTTGATGTATTTCTGTATTTTGATTTAAATAAAATTATACTGAAATATATATATATCAAGTGTTCATTCTTTAGATGCAGGATGTGATCTACTTTATTATATAAGCACATTTTATCATTATTAAAAAATGCTTGTTACACACTAGCGCATGCACTGCCATCTAACGGCAAATTTAACAGTTCTGTTGTCACAGTGCTCGTTCCAAGTGTAATGTTTATTTACAGTGATTACTTGTGTTTCCGAATTCTTTACCAGCATTCTGGCGAAGACAATCGGTCTCCTACTGGAACTGTTACGATCTCAGAGATAGCACTCAATTCGGTGAATTACATTAACAGTGTTCCAACTGCAGAAATACGCCAGTGCTTCGTCACAACCCAGCCTCCCTCACTGCAACCGTAAGGTAAACTCAATTTGTATCTTTGAACGTACGGAAGATCGGGAGGGGTTCGGGGGCAGAGCCATCGGTAGGGGAATAATGCGATAGGGAGTTTTTTTTATTTCTCAAACGGCGATCTTTGTGTTAGTTTGTGCCTTAAGGGCGTGGGTTCATTCGCTCGTTCGTTCGCGCAAGACCGTTTCGAATCTTCCGAGACCGAATCTTGGCTTCGGGTATTCTACTTTCCACCTTTATTTTATGAAATGCGATTCTTATCTCGTTTTTATTTATTTATTTTTCTAACGCTTTCTTTAACTTTTCAAAAATACCCGCTATGAGCGAAATCGTCCAAATCCCCTCCCCTGTAAAATATCAACAGCTTGAAGCCACGTATACCCTAACAAAGCCATTGGGACCCACATAAACCAACACGTTACAAGATCTGAGACCCCAAATGAACACCCACGCCTAATGTTCCTTTTCTTAAATTGTTCTGGGGAATGACTCCTTGTAAAATTTCCTTCCGCATAAATTGTTCTTCTAAGCGATTTCACAAATGACTTTTGGGAACATCTTCGTCTGAGTGGTTTTCCGGAGCGCTGGCTTTCATTATTTTTTTACACCAGGAAGTAGTGAGATAATTTGTACATCCTCACGCACCCTACTTTTGCTTTAAAAAATAGCCTTGATATAGATATATTTCAGATGTAGATTGGCACACGCGGTCGAGAAACTAAACCTACACTCACCTTTGCCCTCATACACACACACTCACCCTTACCTTCACACGCACTTATTCATCCTCATCCTTATATACACTTACCCTTACCCTCATACACACTCACTCACCCTTATTCACATACACACTCACTCACCCTTACCCTCACACATACTCATCAACACACTCACCCTTACCCATATACACACCCATCAACACACACATTCACCCTTCCCCTCATACATACTCATCAACACACTCACCCTTACCATCATACACACCCATCAACACACTCACTCACCCTTACCCTTATACACACCCATCAACACACTCGCTCACCCTTCCTCTCATACGCCCATCAGAACTCAGCGCTACACAGGACACCCACCTGCAGTACACAGCCGGAGGTTCTCGTCGTAACCATCAGGGCAGTCAGGGGCGCCGTCACATAGGTACTGGATTGAGATACACACGTTTCCACCTGGACACCGGAAGGGTTCATAGGCAGCGCACTCTCTCT